AGGATGTAGTCTACAGAGTAAACCCTAACGTTAACAATGAACTTAAACTAGTAAGTATCTATCAATAGTGGCTGTAATCAATGTACCACACTAATGCAAGATGGCAGTGATAGGGAAACTGTGGTCTCTGCGCTTTTTGTTCCATTTTTCTATGAACCTAAAATTGCTCTGAAAAAGTCTTAATGTTAATTGCTACTACAAGCCATGGATATGGCCTCTATTGCGGGTACTCTAGGGAAGCAAATTCCAGGCTACCGCGTGACTTTCAGCTGACAGCAGAGGAGTCACCTGAGTGAAAATTAAACTGGTGTCCATCCACCTAATTCAAAACCACAGATTAGGGCTGACAACCACAAATTAACAGGACGAGCGACCCACAGGGGTCCAATTTGCTTTCGGCATCAGGGAAAGCCTGGAAGAGCCAGGAACAGTGAATCTAGGAGAACCTAGAGGGGAGCTCATCTGCCAAGGAGAGAGAAGCAGAGGGGCGACCTACCATTGGAGTCACTTCTGACCTTCACCCTCACTGTCCAGCCCTGCACCCCTGGACCAGCGCCCTTCGCGGAGGCTTGTCCACGCCGGCCGCTCAAACTTCTCACCTGTCAGCTGTGTGCAGAGGGGAGTGGAAGTGACCGTGCCAGGGAACGATTCGGAAAGGGGGACTCAGGGACGAAAATGCACAGCTTGGTTCACTCTGGCTCCAGATTCTGTGATGAGGCAGCATGACCTGCCTGGGGAAAAGTGCTCAGGTCCAGAAGTCAGAAGCCTGAAGCTCAGCTTCACTGCCTGGACAGCGGGGCTCTTTCACCTCAGCTGCAATGCTGGGATAACAGTTGCCCAGGGGCCTCAAGGTTAGAGCTGGGATGGGCCCATCTTGCAGGTGAGGCAAACAGAGTCCAGGGAGATGAAACACTTGCACAAGTTTGCACAGCTGGGTGGCAGAGGGACTTGCCACAGAAGAATCAGAACAAAGATAACCTGTGTGAAATGTTGAGGATAGTTAAACACCCTCGCTAAAGGGAAGCTGTTGTCAAAACTATCCATCTTTCCACTCCTTGTTCCTGTTCTGCTCTACAGGGAGCATCTCCTGTGAGAGTGGGCTCTTGGCAAGGGTCAGCTCTGTCAACACCACCAGCTGCTGTCCCAGGTTACAGAGCCAGGGATGGAAGGAAGCTCTTGGCCCCAGAACTGTGACCTGGGAGGGAGCCTAATTGGCTCCATTCGCCCCTGGGCACTTCCACACTCCAATGGCGGGAGGCAACAAGGCTTCCTGGGGAAAGGGAATATGTTTTGTGAATAATAATTCCATCTTTAATCCATGAAGCTCACCAGGCCAGTAATCTGCTAAGCACTTGAGAAAAACTCATCTGGCTTTTACTTCAGCAGACCCATGGCAAGCTTCAGTTCACCCAGTTGCCAGACCTTTTGTCCTCTCACCAGCTTAACTAATGTGCAAACATATTCCCAAACAGCCTCCAAAACAGATTATGACCAACAGACTGGAGAATGACGCAAATGTAGGCCATCTACATAAGTGAAACAAGTTGAGTCCAAAGGGCTCGTTTGTGTGACTTAAATCACAGAGGTGGGCGACATCCACAGGACTGAATTCACAATTGCTGGCATTAGCAATTTAACCCAGTTCTTTCTTGACCCAAGCCTTGGGTGGATCTAGTCCTCTCACTTCAAGAGCCCCCACCCGACACCCACGCCCCAGCCCCCCCGACACACACACAGATGGCAAAGCCACCACCGCACATTCCTCTCTTCTTTGGTGGTCCCACTGGGACACAATTCCATTGGCATAATTAGGAGGACACCAGAGAGGATTCGGTTCCATGTATTTTTTATGAAAAATGAGTCAAAAATTTTTTTCCTCCCCACACTCTCCCAAAGAAAGGGACTAGAGCAGAGGGAGTTGCAATCTTAGATTAGCAACTCCACAACAGAGCATGGGCAAGAAAACAGCAGGCAGTGGATGGGAAACCATTAACTGGAATCTTCCCACCCAGCCATACCCAGGTTCGACAGCTGGGGCACCCTTCATGGCTTCCCCAACCTCCTCTAAGCCCCACCGACCTTCCACTTCCACTAATATAATGGTGCCTTTCAACAAAAGACCTATGCCTGGAAAACCACGCTGCGTCTGTCCCTCCACGAGCATCCTCAACTGCCTATCTCATTACCAACACGGCTGCTCTGGGGGAAATGCAGAGGCCCACCTCCTTGTACACAGTGCCCAACATCCCCACCACTACCAGGCCAAGAGCTGGGCCACAGACTTTGGAAGATTCTTGGTCTGTTTTGACTCAACTGTGTCCATCAGCGTCTTGTCCCTATTTTATCCGCTCCGTCCCATGAAGAATAGAGAGGAGTCAGAAGGGGACTCATTATCGCCGTAGCCATATGATTTGCTGTGTCATCTCAAGTGAGTCACATTCCCCCTGCATCTGTTCCCTTATTTGTGAGCTAAGAGAGTTGAACTGGATGACCTTCATGGTCCTCCTGGGCTCTGAACCCTCATCCCATTCCACCTCCTTCCCATCCCCCTGCAGGGAGGAGCTCAAAGTGCTAGGCTTCTGGTTTTTATCATCAGCTCCTGGAGGTAAGACGAATGCAGATGAGATTTTAGAACTCACCACACTCACTTTGCAGCTAGCAGGGAACTCAAACAATCCACTGCCCAAATGCCCAAAGACAGCATGATCCCCAAGGTATAGAGAAGAAAACTGATCCACAGAGGCTAAATGGCATGCACAAAGTCCCAGCTGTCCTATCAGGTGATACCAAAGAGCCAGGAGCCAAATCTTCAGTTCCCTGGTGCTGACTCCCCCATATCACAACAAATGTTATGAAAAGGCACTGTTTCGGGTGTTAGCCAAAGCTTGAAATAGATATTACTAAGCGTAAAATCAAGTCTTCATGGAAGCAAATCATAACAACAGCCCCTTAATACTCATACTCATATTATTATTTATGACCAAGAGATGGTAATGAGAACTTTGACGCTGAACCCTTTCCAACTAGAAAGCTACGGATAACTGGCATTTTTCCTATCCGCCAACCTATTTCATGACCGTGGAAATCAGAAACCACATCACGGGTACTCACAATTGATGGCAAAGGACTTCCAACGTGATACACACAGTGCTTGAGGGGAGGCTCTCTGCTTTGCTAACCGACAAGGTAATCTTGACACATTTACAAATGTGTTTATGACTCTGCCCATGTTTAACAAGAACCTGTGAAAGCCGGAGCACTGTTCTCTTTACCTGAAAATTTTCAGTGCTATTGCTCTAAATAGCAAATGGTTTATTTTAAAAACTTGAGAGGTTTTTTTTTAAAGTTAAATTGCATTTCCCATATGTGTATAAGAAGCTCTTTTAGGTTGAAATAATTCCGTTGCATTATCTAAGCCAAAATGATCATATTTTCCTCACCAACTAACATAAATTCTTCTAGAAATGGGCTCACAGAGTAAAATATTCCCAGTGTGTCTTCAAATTCACACTAAAGAATCCCAACATTCACTTTAGGGATGTTTTGTTCTTGTAAATGATCAGTTTCACTCATTTAATCCCCTTACAAAATCCACACAAGCCACCCGGAGCATTATTCCCTGGGATTTCCAAGTATATTAAAACATAGCACACAGATAAAAGCAGGGGTTGTTCTGAGTTTAGAGCATCTGAACATCAGCTCCTCTTCTCTGGAGAGGGAAGTGCTAGGTAGCTGGGTTCCCATCAAGGAAGGGGCTGGAGTCCTCCCCCACTCTGATACTGATCGGAAGGCCAGGAGGCATCATTATGTCCCCAGCAAGTTGGAGACACTGGCCAGGCCTTGTCTTGCCAGGGAGCTGGGTGTTCCTTGCAATTATCTCAAGGCTAGTCCCACCACCCCTCTAGCCCTGAGAGTGAATCTTGCCTCAACTCAGCTTCCAGATGGCTTCCTGAATTACCCACCCAGTTAACACCCCAGCCAGACTGAGACTTCTGGGACCCTCTGTAATCCAAGGCAGTGAAGGCCCACTGCTCTATAAGGCTGAAGATTTACCAGACGAACTACCTTATCTTCATCCATTTGGAGGATCAACGAGGCAGGAGGAAAAAGAAAGAACAACTCCCATAGAACACTGAAGCTGGATAAGAATCTGACATTTTCCTTTGCGATGACTTGATGTCCTCGCTTCTTCAAAGGAGAAAATCACCTGAACCAGGCCAGTGGTCCCTTCCTTATGCAACCTGTCGCAGGCACCCGTTCTTTCACTGACTGCTTGAGCATGTCCTAATTCCAACACACTCACAGAGCATTTGTCTCCTTTTCATTCCTTCCACTGCCTGCAGGACTAACCATCCAAAGCAGCGTCATCCAGCAACAGTACTACCCCTCCTAGTCACAGGGCCAGATCTGTCCATAGTCTGACTACCTCAGCTAATTTACACAAGGGAGAGTATGGACGACTGAATGCCATTGGTCACCGCCAAAACTCATTTTAGCACAGAAACAACTTCTTTTTCCAACATTTACCAAAAAAAAAAAAAAAAATAGCAAGCAAACTTGGGGGGGAAATAGCATCCTTGTTGCCAGGAGTTAATTAGTTATGAAACAGCCAAAAGTCAGCAGCAGGTGACAGAAAAATCCCCATAATTAGAATAATCAATAGGTAGACATACAGCAATTGCATACCAAGTGGAAGTTTCACCAGCACAGTGGCAATGCATGCCTGCATCTGCAGCCCCACCACCCCAAGCCAGTGGCTTGCACGCCACATGAAATAAAAGGGAAGCCTCTGGTCTCTTCCACACCCATTCACAGACATGCAGGGCCTCCAATCCTCCAAAGGACAAAAACAGCAGGCGAGAATATCTATCAAGCATGCTCCCTCTGTTCCAAACATCAGCCATGCCAGTTACCACCCACATAATGACTCTTCTGTTGACCACCCACATTTATTCAACTTTCAAGACATGACAACAAGGTCTGAGATTTGAGGCATGTACCTGACTCTCTCTCCCCTCCAGGGGTGGTGGAATCTGATCAGCAAAACCAATCTTCCCTGGATCACCCATAAAGGCACTAACCTCATCCACGTTCTCAAAAGCGTTGATGACATCATATGGCAAACAGGACAGAAGGTCAATCACAAACCACGTCTTCAGGTAGTTCATGCGGATGAGTTTGGGGTCAGAGATCACCTCCCCAGCTGGTCCAACAAAGGTAGTATGAAAATTCAGCACAATGTCCACCAAAAAGATGACATCCACGATGCTATCCACAACCAGCCAGGCCACGTTGTTCTGCCTGGTTTTAAAGGAGACGTTGTAAGGGACCAGGATGGCTGTGTAGAAGGTTAAAATCAAGATGATCCAATCCCACGTGGTCTTAAAAACACAGTAATGTAGGATGATGTGAGGGGGAGTCTTCGGGGCCTCTTGCTTGTACTGGGGAAGGATGTCTGAGCCCAGCTGCAGAACCTGCAGAAAAACATAGTCAAAAGAGAAGTAAGTTAGGATTCCACTGCAAGCATCTAACCAGTCAGCATCTGCCACTGACAAATGCTCATGACACTACAGATGGATCATTAGGAGCAAGAACAGGTACTAGAGGAGGATGGGAGAATGGAAATGAACATTATAATACAAATAATTATAAGGAAACAATGACAAACTATTATTTGGCTTATTGTGAGCCAAGGATTGTACTAAGTACTTCCCATACACGTATTCTCACTTAATTCTAACTACAACCTTGTACCGTTAGCCAATTATTATTCCGTGTAACAAGGGAAAAACTGAAGCCCCAGAGAATTAAGCAACTTTACTCAGCAAATATTTATTCTTCTGTGCCAGGAACTGTTCCAGACACTGGAAGGACAGCAAGGAAGGAAACAACATGATGCCTGCTCTCGTGGAGCTTGGTCTAGTAAACGAATCCAGATAGTTTCCAATTGTGGGAAGAGCTAACTAAGAGGCAAGGGTGGAGAACAGGTGACTGGATAGAATGTGACATGAGGAGCAGGGAAGGGACAGCGTTGGAACTGAAACCTGAATGAACAACCAGAAACCAGCCATTCAAACTTGTAAGGGAAATTATCCGAGGCAGAGAGCGTAACTGGCGTAATGACCCCAGGGTGGGACAAGCTTGATGTTCTCAGGCAAGAGAGAAGCCTGGCATGACTGAAGCCCACTGGACGGGGTGGCGGGGGGGGGGGGTAAGGATGTCAGATGTGATCAGAGGAGAAGTGGAAACCAGACCACGCAGGACCTAGTGAGCCATGAGGAGGGGTTGGACTTCATTCTCAGTATGTCCAAGCGTAACTGGAGGGGTTTAACAAAAGAATATTAATCTGGTGCATGTTTTTAAAAGATTACCCTGGCTGTTGTGTAGATAATGAATTGAGGCAAATAATTAGAGGGAAGAACAGAATCAAGGAACTTATTCTAACAGCCTGGAAAGAGATGAGAGGATGGGGAAAAGTAGTCCAATTTTTTGATATATTTTTGAAGTAAACCAGCTGATGACTTGCTCATGGTCAGAAAGTAAAGCAAAGGGAGCAATGAAAGGTACCCACTACTTTATCCCCAAACCCAGCATGGTGGCTGGCCCAGAGTCGGCACTACATGATGGTTTTTAAGTAGATGACTGAATGTCAAGGTCAGACAGCTAGCAAAAGATGGAACCAGATCCCCAACTAGGTCTAGCTGGATTAGATATACATGCCGTTCCACACTGATGTTACATTTCCCTAAGGAACAGACTTTTAAGGACACCGAAGGATGAAGTCCAGAGAAGCTTGGCTCCAAGAAAGTATCACAGATGGGTTTCACCCTCAGTAGTCAAAAGCAAAAAGCCACACTTTCAGAGGCCAGGCCAAGCTGAAAGGGACCCTCACCCCCAACCCTGAGCTGCTCCTCTGGGCCACTTACAGGTTCTTATAAATCTCTGGGTGAAACTTCCTCTTGTGTCCTTGGAACTTACTTTTCCCTCTAGAGGATATAAGGACCCCTTAGTAAATAATCTGAAAATCCCTGTCTCCTCTATGGTTGGCCCCAGGCCTTAAAAGGTGAGTAAAAGAAAGCCAGAAATCCACCGAGGGCCCAATGTGCATCTTTGCATATGAGAACTGTTTCCACCCCTCCCACCCATGCACAGACCTCTCCTAGGCTTGGGTTTTTAATTTCTCTTCCCATGAAAAGAAATTTATACAAGCGTGATTAAAGAAGCTTGGGCCCTGAGATCTCAAGGCAGGAAAACGGACTGACTTAGAAGAATAAAGCCAAGAAAAGTAAACTGAATGGGACTTCCACTTCCAGAAAGATAAAGTAGACATACTTTTCTCTATTCTTCCTGTAAGTACAACTAAATGCCTTGGATATTACATATAACACAAACTTAAGACTCTGAAAGGTGAAGGAGAAAAAGCAAACTGCCTAGGAATAACACAGTGTTATTTGTCCCTGGGTATTCTTTGTGCCTGAGACATTCCCAGACTTAGAGCTGAAGAAGCCAGGGACCTAGAATGACCCATAGGTGCAGACCAAAAAAGTCCCAACAAAAGCCCACTCTGTAGCAAAGGAACTGGGAAAAGGGCAGCCTCAAAAGACAGAAAACTTTCAGGTAATAACCACTCAACCACAGCTAAGCAGTACAGTAAAAGTCTTAGCCCCATTGCTACCCAGGCCAGCAAAGGCTACTAGGAAGCTAGATTTCCCCCACCTCAAGGCTTCAGTAAAGCACTCAACCTCCTCTTCTTCCTCCTCCTCCCTATAGGGAGTAGTGCTGGAAAAGGCCCAGTGGGGAGCCTGGACTTCCGTGTCCACCCAGCAGTAATGAAGCCACATCTGGCCACAAGGCAGGGAGGGATCAATATAAGCTCAACGGGCCACTGGAACTCTCTCGCTTACCCAGAGATAATAGGAGCGCCCCTCAGGTGTCAGTAGAGGCTGAGTTAAAAACCTGGACTTTGGATGCCTGGGTGGCTCAGATGGTTAAGCATCTGCCTTCGGCTCAGGTCATGATCCCAGGGTCCTGGGATCGAGCCCCACATCGGGCTCCTGGCTCAGCGAGGAGCCTGCTTCTCCCTCTCCCTCTCCCCCTGCTCATGCTCTCTCTCTCTGTGTGTGTATCTTTGCGTCTCAGATGAATAAATAAAATCTTTAAAAAAAGAAACCTGGACTTTTCCCCCAACGTGGAGGAATGAGGGGATGCCTACCCCTTCCTCTACCATACCCAGCTCAAAAGAAGGCACTTAAAACAAAAGGTTTAAAGAAGATCCAGAGTCTCATTACTTAATATCCAAAATGCCCAAGTTTCTACCAAAAATCGCTCATTATACCAAGAAACAGGTAAATCTCAAATGAATGAAAAACAGTTAATAGATACCAACACCAAGATGACAGAGATGTCAGAAATATCTGATGAAGATTTTTAAACAGCAATCCAAAAAATGTTTAAACAGGCAATTATGGATATGCTTGAAACAAAATGGAAAAAAAAAAATACAGTCTCAGAAATAGCCAAGAAGTAGAAAGTCTCAGCAAAGGAAGAGAAGATATAAAGATGAACCAAATGTAAATTTTAGAACCAAAAATACAATAGCCAATTTAAGCATTTCAGTGGATAGGTTCAACAGCAGAATGGAGGAGACAGAGGAAACAGTAGAAATTACCCAGGCTGAACAACAGAGACAGAAAGGCATCTTACATCACGACCAAAGGGTCAGTTCACCAAGACCTAGAAATCCTGACGTGTATACACCAGAGAGCTCTAAATACACGCGAAGCAAAACCTGATAGAACTGAAGGAGAGGCAGACAAATCCACACGGTCCTCTCTCAACCTCTGCTAGAACAACCTGACAGAAAATTAGCAAGGATGTAGCAGCACTCAACAACATCATCAACCAACAGGATTTAGTCGACATTTATAAAACACTTCCACCCACCAAGAGCAGAATGCTCTATTAGGAGGATGAAGTGACAAACTATGACTTGGAGAAGATATCTGCAAACCACATATCCCACAAAGAAGTAGTATCTAGAATATATAATTCACAATATATAATCTCCAAACTCAATAATTTAAAAAAAACCACACACACACACACACACACACAATCCAATCAGAAAATGAGGAAAAGGCATGAAGGGACATTTCACCCAAGAGCATATACAGATGATACATAAGCCCGTGAAAAGATGCACAATATCATTGGTCATTAGGGAAATACACATTAAAATGACAAAGAGATATCACTACACGCCTATCAGAATGGCTACAAGACAAAATAGTGACAACACCAAATGACAATGCAGATAAACCAGAGCACTCATATATTGTTAGCAGACATATAAAATGGCACAGCCACCCCAGCAAAGAGTCTTGCAACCAAATATGCTACTACCACCTGACCCAGCAGTTACACTCCTGGGCATTTATCCCAGAAAAATGAAAACTTACATTCACGCAAAAACCTGTACATGAATGTTGACAGAGCTTTATTCATAAGAGCCAAAAACTGGAAATAACCCAGATGTCCTTCAACAGGTAGATGGTTAAACACACTGTGGTACATCCACACCATGGAAAATACTCAGCAATAAAAAGGTACAGACTATTGATACATACAGCCAGCTGGATGAATCTCCAGAGACTGAATCAACAATCCCCAAAGATAATGTACTGCATGCTTCTAATCATATAAGATCTTTGAGATGACAAAATGGTACAAATAGAGAACAAATCAATGGTTGCCAGGGGCTTAAAGGGGGGGGGGGAGTGAGGGCCTGAAGGAAGTGGATGTAGCTATACAAAGGCAACATAAGGTATTCTCGTGATAATGGAATAGTCTGTATCTTGACCAGACCAATGTCAGTATCTTGGTTGGAATATTGTACTATAGTTTTGCAGGAAGCTACCAGCAGGGGAAACTGAATAGAATCCATGGGATCTCTGCATTATTTCTTCCATGTGAACCTATAGTCATCTCAAAATAAGAAGTTTAGTTTTTAAAAGTCAACGCCTGGGTGGCTCAGTCGGTTGAGCGTCTGCCTTCGGCTTGGGTCATGATCCCAGGGTCCTGGGACCGAGCCCTGCTTTGGACTCCCTGCTCGGTGGGGAGTCTGCTTCTCCCTCTCCCACTCCCCCTGCTTGTGCTCTCTCCTCTCCCTCTCACTCTCTGTCAAATGAATAAATAAAATCTTTAAAAAATAAATTAAAATAAAAGTCAATGGATATAGATGAATTATAAGCCTTGTAAGGAAGGGGTCATGGGCATTCAGCTAAGGGAAAGGCATGGGAAAGGGAGGTGAGTTACTTAGGGGTTTATTGTATGTTTGCAAAATACAGTCTGGGTGATAAGACTATTTAGCCAGAACTCAAAAGAATCCACAAGTAAGCAGCCACCTGCTGACCACACACCAAAGTCGCCTGGAGCTCCATGATTCTCGGTAACAAGCCTCAGGACGAAACACCTT